ACGCGTGCTTCATAGTTTCCCGTTAGGCGTACGGTTTTCATGCCCGGTTATTTTCATATTTCAGTAGGACCTCCCCAGCGCTGACTTCCCCCAATCTCAGAGATTTGGATCCGAGAAATCCACGCTCAGGGAGGCCAGGGGCTGTAGCTGACGCACGTCTCTTCCCTCCCTTCCCAACTGGCAGCCTGGAAATGTGTTCCGGCGAGGAAAAGCATCGCAAGCTGGGATGAGGGCGACCACCCTGCGGACGGCGGGTGGAGCCCTTCAGGATCCCTCCGCCCGCCTCCGTTCACTGATGGGGGGAGAGGTCACATGCCTGGCTCAGGCCCCAGCCATATTGGATGTGATAGCCCACCGTGCGGCTGCACACTAGTACTGCTCTCTGGCGTCCCAGCATTACCTAGGCAATTTCAAGCGGTTGGGAGTAATAGTACGAGGGAAAGCAAGCCGCAAATATTAGCATACTTAGCGAACCAGGCTTCTGTGCATTGCCCCTGCAATCTTGGTGCCGGCGTGTTGGCGCCCTACGCCGTGATGCTGCCGTGTGATCAGTGCTGAAGCCGCTGCCATAACGGGCCCTCCGGCGGACTGGTGCGGTAGGATGAGACTCGGCGCACTTTTGAACTATCAAGTTCTTGAAGCCATTATCAAACATATGCCGAAAACAATGGGCCTTCGGTAAACGAGGAGCTGCTGGCTAAATGAATACATGAAGTGATCACTAGAGCATATTATGAGAAAACTCGGCAGATGAATCTTGTGTTTTCCATTGTGGATGAGTGAGGCTGATCAAACATTAAAATTTGAGACTTAAAGCGGGCGAAACCTAAGAAATTTGTTGGAACGTCTGCAGGCGGATATAAGGTACCGTCATGTATTTAAGGTACCGTCATGTATTTAAGGTACCGTCATGTATTTAAGCCGCCACAGCCTAATAAACGTGTAGTTGCCGTAAGTATCGGGTTCATGCCAGCCACATTTCTGTGCTGGCCATCTGAAACATGCCCGCGTTCAGCCGGATCCTCACCGTCACCACCGCGCGTCTCACTGTGACCCCGGCCCGGTCACCAACGCCCGTCTCACTGTGACCCAGGCCCAGTCACCCTCACCTTCACCACCGCCCGTCTCACTGTGATCGCGGCCCGGTCACCTACGCCGTCACCACCGCCCGTCTCACTGTGACCCAGGCCCGGTCACCCTCACCGTCACCGCCGCCCGTCTCACCGTGACCCCGGCCCGGTCACCTACGCCGTCACCACCGCCCGTCTCACTGTGATCGCGGCCCGGTCACCACCGCCCGTCTCACCGTGATCCCGGCCCGGTCACCTACGCCGTCACCACTGCCCGTCTCACTGTGACCCAGGCCCGGTCACCCTCACCGTCACCACCGCCCGTCTCACTGTGACCTCGGCCCGGTCACCCACGCCGTCACCACCGCCCGTCTCACTGTGATCGCGGCCAGGTCACCACCGCCCGTCTCACTGTGACCCCGGTCCGGCCACCCACGCCGTTACCACCGCCCGTCTCACCGTGACCCCAGCGCAGTCACCCGAGCCCTTGCCATCTCCTCACGTCACGTGAGCCCGCACTGCTCTGCGCCCCGTCACTCGGGGCGCCGCGCACCTGCGGTCCAAGAGCCATGGCGTTGGCCAGGACCGTCCGGCACCGCTCCCTCCCCCCGCCCCCCTCCCCCTGCATCGCGAAGGATAGGGCAGCGCTTCCCCAGGCAAACCGCGCTTCCACTGACGCCCGGTACGCGGTACTTGGTAATGCTGTCCGAAACATAGACGGCCAAGTCGAAACGTGTGGACGGCTTGTGCTGGGTAGTAGGCTGGAAATTAATTTTTCTCTAACACCAGAGCGGTCACTCAGGGGCCACATCTAAGCACCTTATCCACGGCACCATGATTAGAGCTTTACGAAGCACAGACTCTACAGCTAAGCAGGAGAGTTTTGACGACCAGCACCGAGTATTAGGCAAGGGAGTTTATTTCTTACGCGAAAACTACGTCACTGCAAGACAGGGGTGTTCAAAGCAATGACCAGGACATCATTGCTTATCGTACCGTACTGGGATGTTCGCTGAAGGTGTTGCAGCGGTTGTCGAGTCGCGCGTTGATGGGCTTCCACTGCAGGCCGCACCTCCCATGATTTCCCAACAGGGCTGTAATGCAAACACAGTCGCTTATTCCTGTCGTGGGAGCGTGAAGAACACATGCCACGCCAAGCTTCCCCCAGGCCACGCCTTAAACATGAATGTATCAATGTATTGAAAGACAGGGATCTTGCAATTATTCATGAATGAATCAAAACGCTATTGCAATGTTTTCATCGAAGAAGGCTTAGGTTCAGTGATTTATCTAATGGAGAAAAACGCTCTATACAATATGTTCATTTGACGTCAGCCTAGTTGACCGTTGGAGTTGGCGTCAGGCGCTGACATGACAATGCACACTGAAGAACATGATTCATAAGTTCTAATGCAGCCTTCGCCCAGAGACATTCTGTGTTGGAGAAACAACAAAACTAACTTCGGAACCAGTTTAATGGACAGCTTGGCGACACGCGTCGACAGATAGCGTGCACACCATCAGGGGAACACATTGTCAAAAGACGGAGCGAAGCACAACACCAACTCTAAGGTAAAAAATATTAGGAACCACAAAAAGGTTGTGTTTGTAGCACCCTTCAGCATCGTATCGTATGCTTCATGTTATGATGTGGAGGTTTGAATTATTGATAACTGCAATATCTTTACACTCGTTGAGACAGCAAAACTGCGGAACATCTGTCTAAAATTTCCCGTGAGTCTTGTTTCCTAATTAGTACTTGTCTTCGTTCGCTGGTGACCATAGGCACTGCCTTGAAACGTCGAACGCTCTCACCATACATTCCAATGATCACTGGATATCTTCGATCAATCGGCGCTTTCCGTAGCACTCGAGGCCAGCTGTTTTCAACAACAGCGCACTTATAGCATCGAGGAACGAAAAACTCAAGGTCTTCTTGCTCTTATCAACTTTGAAGTCCTGTAGCGAACTGATTAAGCGAGGCGGAAACTCGGCAGTTTTGTGCACGGTTAGATTTCCCAGGAGGCCGTCGCTTCGGTTTTGCTGAACTGTTTGATACATGGTAAGTCAACAGATGTAATGTCTTTATTATGGCCGAAGCGAATAGCTCAATGGAAAATATGTGTCATCTTGGGATATGCAATGTGATGTGCAATATTAGGGAAAGGCAGGCCACCAGCAATGAGTCAGCATACTGGAGTCAGTTTTAAGGCTTCTCATGGGGTTGAAGTGGACCGCCCAACCATTCACCTCGAACGGCCACGTGGAACAGTCATGAGTCATCCTCA